AGGTAATTTTACTTAACTTACTTGTACTTTACGTAACCTACTATTTACTTTCCTTTTTTTACGTTTAATATATATATATATATATATATATATATATANATTTTTTTTATTTTTTTTTTTTCTTTGACTATTGCATTACTCGGGTTTAGTTACTTGGACTCAACTCGATCCAGGTAGTCGGATTTGGGGGCCGAGTGCTCCGCCATAGTGGTTTCCAATGCTTACTGAAATGACATAGTAGAGAGAGAGAGAAAAGGAGAGGGAGAGGGATGACTTGGCCTCAAAAACTGAAATGATGTGGGTAGAGAGAGAAAGAGTGAGGGAGAGACATGAATTGGCCTGAAAAACTGAGATGACAGTCAGTGAGGGACACGAATATGGACTCACCATCACAAACATGGAGTAGAACGCTCTTTCGTTTTGAAGAAACATAGAGCGGAAGCCTCCCTTTTTTATCATTTTTTCAGTGAACAGTTATAGGGTGGGAGGGTCTCGCTATCAGAACCTGGTGCAGGGAATCTACCCTCCGAGAATTAGATGGATTTGGGGTCTAAATTTTGCAGTTCTATGGTTTAAGCCACTGCAATTATGAATATGGAAAATTAAAGGAAAAAAAATGAATTTTTTAGCCTTAAAAGTATCTATTTTTATTGCTTAATTTAATTCTTTAAAGATACTGTTCTGCATTTTTTTAGAGCTTTAAATTCATGGATTTGCAGGGGAATTGGATTTAGAGTGATCTAAGATGTGTTTGAGGTCCTAAATACTTTAGAACCAAATGGAAGTTGGCCAAATTGCCAAATGCTCTTTTATCGTATGCTTTTTGTAATTTTTCCATAATTTTTTAGAGAAATTTGCAGTCATCTCTTCCTGTATATATTATTATAAAAAGAAAAATGTTTCAACATATATAGTCCAGAAGTATAAAGCATCTAAATAAGTGGTCCACTTAAAATTAATTGAAATTAATGGTCCAAATGTTTTTTTAATAGAATTATTATTTTAAGTTTTTAAAATTTATTTATTTTTTTCATATTCATGATATCCATGTTAGAGATTGCATATCTTTAAAAATTAAATCCAAAAATCCATCTAAAAAATATATTTATTAAGGGGGCCTCCATTTCTACATGTGCTTCGCCTACATGCTAACCGCGTCCTTATAAATGTCTTCCCAATTTTTCTATTTTGTGTTGAAAGTGTGTCATTTTTTTTCGTTTTAGTTTTTATTTAAAAAATTAACCCCAAGTCTAAATTGAAAGCAAAATTATTTACTTTGGTCTTTCAAGATCCAAAGCTCCATCACCTTCAAAAAATTCACCTCCGACTTTCAATACTTGATATGATGATAAAACCTCAAGTGATGGATGGGACATTGGCTTGAAGGTATTAAGTTGTAGTAAAAGAATTATTCTAAGGAAAAAATTTATACAAGGATGCAACCTTATAATGTAGAACCACAGATGCACCTCAAAAATCCATTGAAAAAGGTAGTTTTAATGTTGAAAGACCCTTTGATTGATCATCTCAAATGTATGACCATGAAAAATAAAAATATTTTAAGTCTTAAAAATCGTGCATTTTACAACATGTTATCTACACCATCCATTTTCAAGATTTTCATATGTTTATAGATCTACTTGATTTTAACCATTTTTTAAATTTAAAATTTTATAATTAGATGTAAAAATAGATTTTGAGATAATCCTAAGTACATTTTATATCAAAATTATATACCATGATAAAATTTGACGGTGCACGTTACCTCTATAGCTACGGATGCATCCGTATGCCAACTGCACCCTTCTTCTAAGCTTTTAGTATAAAATCATTGTCACTTCGGACCTTTAAAATATGACGGGATACGTTTTTAGAAAAAGAAAAAAAAAAAAAAGTGAACAGAAAACAAGTGGAGAAGATTTTTATAAATATCAGTAAATTATTCCTGCCAGTCCTCCTCATATTGATAATGAGACTAATAAAAGAATCTATCTTTTATCGTATACATTTTCTTTTTTTTCTTTTTCTTTTTTAATTCTTTTATCATGTACTCTACCTCACGGTATGTACTAGTTAATAGCACATGCACGATGGTCATTTTAATGGAATAGATGAATAATATTTTATAAAGATTTAATTCAACAAATAAATTTTTATTTTTAATTCCTAGATTATTCAGTGTTAATAGCAATTTAAATTTTGATATAACATTTTCTCAATGCGTTCCTAAGTCTACCTTTTGTGAAAAAGCTAAATATTACGCTCTGGGTAGAGCAAGATGTACATTTTACACACACATCCTGAAAATTCACACACACACATTCTAGAAAGTAACTAAAGGTAAAAAGTCAGGCTCTAGAATAGAATAGAGACTGTTCAATTTTTGTACTTTCAACTCTAGTGTATAATTACTCCGTAATCTTTTGTTGTCCATCTTTTGAAATTAATCATCTAATGATTCTAAAGGGAATCCGAAATCTTAAACTAAATAAATGCAGTTGGTATTTTGCCTTGGGGAGCAAATGTACAATTTGCTCCTGTTGGAGCACGCTACGTGCCCCAACATTATAATAAAAATTACCCCTTTTTCTAAGGATATAAAAGGCCGTTCCGATATTTTCGTTTATTTTTGCTTCTTCAAGATGGAATAATTTGTAAAATCAGAATTTAAAACAGAAAAGAGACCTTCAGGTATTTGGCAAATTTATCATTACAATTTAGAGAGGTTATTAAGTAAAGAGATCTTATGGTTTTCTCAAAGCCATGCAGCCCATTAACTTTCCAACATTTTATAATGTAGCCATGAAAATGTATTTCATACTGCTAGGCCTTATACAGTGACACTTCTCATCTCACAAGAAAATACACTTCCAACACCGAAAGACCTACAAATCGGTTATATCTATGCCAAGGATCATAGACCTGAGAAGAAAAAGATTTCAAATCTTAAAAATGGTTCATGTTGCAGCATTTTTCTAAACCACCTATTTCGTATTTACAAACCCATCAATCCACACGACATTTGAAGCTTCAACTGGGTTTTGAGGTCACCCATGGTTTTCCTCTCCCATCCATGAGGAATTTTATGTAGTCAAACATTGTTGCAGAAATTACAAACAACTTAAAGACAATCCTATCGGACATGCCGGTAATCCCCTTTTTCATTCAGTTTAATTCAAAGAAATTCAGTCACACTTCTTAGTGATCTCTCCCTGCAAACAGAAGGGGAGCCTTCAGGTCAATTCTCACGAGTATCAAACTGGTTTTTGCACAAATTTTCCTTCATATCATATCATACATTCAGTTAGCTTCCACTTCAAAACTACCCATGGGAACCAACAAGGAATCCTTACATCAACTCCCCATGGCCTCACACTCTCCAATCTCAATCCCCAAAACCCAAATAACACCCTCCTCTAAATACCCAAACTTCTACTCCTCCTTTATACAACCCCAAGCCCCTCTTTTTTTTCTCTCTCTCTCTCTCTCTCTCTCTCTCTCTCTCTCCACAAAACCCAACTCTTATTCACATAATCAATGAAACAAGCTCCCAGTTCTGTGTAGGCGCTCAGTTCTGTGTAGTCCCACCATAACCAGAACCGGGGCCTCCTAGAGAGAGAACAACTCCATGAAGGTCAGGCCTCGCTGCCAAAGGAGGGGAACGCCAGCCCCAGTTGCCAGATTCTGTTGGCCTTGTGGTCGGATTCCGGCATTGCCTTTGCATCTCCTCTCTCGATTCCGACAAGATTGTAGCTGGTCGAAGGACTTGCACAGATGGTGCCGTCCCTAGTGAGCCAGTTAATGGAGTGGGGTGTGAGACCACTGCTTCTCTCGTTGTGATGCTAGGTCCCTGAAAAAGGGAATCGGATTGGTTACAGAGAGATAGTTTAGTGTAAATATCTTGTGACTGTAATGTACACGGCCAGACAAATTGATTGTGCAATGTAGTGTAAATGTACTCTGTGACACAGACCTGGCTGAATAAGACGCCGATGAAACACACAAAATAACACACACAGGGTATTCACACCATGTGCATATATACTGTGACTGAAATTGCATAGACCAAACAAATTTATTACAGAATTGGGGTAAATGAAGGTACTCTTGAGGGTACATGCATGAATAAGACGCCACTGAAACAAACAGGTCATGGCTGCAATTATTGATAAATTGCTAATAGATGCCATGACTGTAAATTTGTACATGGGCAGAGAAATTCAATGCGCGATTCATAGTGAGAGGAGGTTTTAGAGGTTTACAGGGCTGAATAAGATGCCTCTGAAGATCTGACCATTCACATTTGCAGTCATTAGGTACCCTGAGTCAAAGGCACCATCTACTGTGCCCCGTACCTCGGCTCCCAGCTGTACAGAAAAAAGGGAGACAAAATTAAATGTATGCCATCAACTCATCTCTCTCTCTAGCTAATCAGCTTGTGCAGGCGAGGACCGCTAGGCTAGGGCACGCCAGAGGAGACTTGTGCAGGCGAGGACCGCTAGGCTAGGGTGTGCCAGAGGAGCAGCGATTCTCTCTCTCTCTCTCACACACACACACAAAACAGTGGATGAATTACCAAATTCGGTACAGCGACAATCCCAGTGGACTCCATTGGTTGGGCTTCAGGTTTTCTTGTTGAAAATACCCGAACAAATTGCTCAGGCTTCACTTCTCTAATGGGTTTCTGTGTCCCGTTTCTCTGATGGGTTTGGTAATTCGAAAGGCCACTAGGTTGGCTCTGGTTTTTGGTGGTCTCAAACAGGTTTAATGGTGGAGAGGGCAGGGATCTATGGGGGGTTGGAGAGGAGAGACCTGGGGGAGCTATGGTCTGTTCTTGATCTGACTGAGATGGTGACGAATGTTGAGAGAGGGAATGGGAATGCTCTTCTTGCTCGGATTCTATGTCAATTAATCTTTGCTGAGACGATTTTCTCCTCTTTGCCTGCATATTATCTGCAGAATATGAAATGCAGCCCTTAAAAACTTTAGTAACCAAATATTGGACCTCAGGAATGTTGGGAAACGAAGATTATGAACAAATCGGAAGAATACACCATTGAACTTCGTGGATTTTTCCGCAAGATAGTATGACATTCAAATATATTCACAGAACTCTCTCTCTCTCTCTCTCTCTCTCTCTCTCTCTCACACACACACACACACACAGAAGAACTAACATTATAATGTTTCTCAAACTATGAGCATTACCTATTCTACACATGGTATGAATCAACACACCTGAACTACGCAAAAATTGATGCCTACATTCCCCCTCAGCATCACTGCCTCTCAGATTAGACTCCTCTCTCCACAGCTGAGACAAAAATTCACAAGGTCATGACTGCATGAGCAAAACACAAGAACTGCCAACACTCTCTCCCATATGTAGGACCAAATTTTTGCCTATTTTCCAACTTCCCATCAAAATAAATTCAAAACATAAAGATTACACAGATATTTTTACTTACATCAACTGGTTTGGCGTCATTCACTGGTTTCTCAGGGCCTTCCCCTTTACAAAAACTTGAGACCTTTGGCTTCTCTTGGTGCCATTGTTTCCCAAATACCTTGCACATGGAAACATTGTAACGGCCATTTGGGTGGTCTGCTCCCAAATGGAGTATAAGCAATTCATCTAATGGCCTTTCATCCTCTCCACACCTGCAGATTCAAGCACCGCAGAAAGAAGTATAGTATACTTTGCTCAAACCCAATTCTATTTTTTTTATATTAGTTAAGATCTTCATCATTCATTTATTTTCTTATTACTGTTTTGCAAAAGAACGTTGGGCCTTCTCTACCACTTGATGAAAGTTAAAAGTAAGGGACACTATAAACATAGAAAGGGAAAAGGAACAGTATTAATCCCGTGCTCTAGATTAAGAACCCTTATATTCGTGCGAGCTACAGAGGAAAAGAATATATTTTTTACCAGCTAACCACTACAGAGCTTGTACTTGGAGAACGTTAAATGTTTAAGAAAGTTACCCTCCATAGATGGCTATATCTGATTCTGCAACAGCGGCACTATGAGAAAACCGCCCTTGGGGCTGTTGGCCCCGGATATCAAACTGAGTCCATGAGCAAGTGTTCATGTCAAGGACCCAAACATCTTTATAGTACTGCCTATCTCCAACTCCAGCAATGATAAATACCTGTAAAATAAAAGAGAAAAACAGCAGTGAGACTATTGAAGTTAATTTGTTATTTACTAATTTTGATAGAGGAAATAGGAAAAATCATACACTTCGAGAACTACACAACCTGAGAAACCAAAAACTCACCTTTGAGCCAATTTTTACAGATGCATGACCTGCTCTAACTCCAGGAGAATATCCTTGAACTACCAACTGTCGGAAGAGAATAGCTCCAAAAATGAACAAAGGCTGAATGGCTTTGTTAAAATGTCTAAAGTACCATAAAATAACCCAGATTTATTGTGCAATTTATGGTTGCTATGACATTTTACTATTTTCAAAATCTGCAATTCATCATCAAATTGATCTATTACATAAACATCAATCTAACACTGCTGTTAGAGAATTAAAAAGGGAACCTTAAAGAACAAATCTCACTTCAGGATACTCAAATGGCATTTAAGGGCTTCATATCCCACTAAGGTGGCGATGCCACTTTTTCCTTTAGGACCCAAAAATGCCCAAATTAAGCAATTGCCAATTACACGATTGAATGTCATTGTAAATCAAGAAACACATACATAAGACAGAACAAAATTGAATCGATGATAAGATAGATGAGATCATACCCTTGACCAAATCATTGTGTCCATATCAAGAACATCAACATCACCAAGATAGTGATCACCACAGTCTCCTCCATAAACAATTAGCCTGTTATCTATCGCAACCGCTGTATGGCTATCTCGAGGGGCAGGGAGATCACCCTTCACCTCAGGAGAAATCCATCTCATGTTCTTCAAATCAAGGATATGCACATCATTTAAGTAATTTCCTTCCCCTTCTCCACTCCCTCCAAATATCACCAATTTATCGTCATTTACAATAGTGGCAGTGTGGCTCTCTCGAGGAGAAGGTGGGTTCCCTTCGACAATGGGCTTGCTCCATTCCTTAGTCCTCAAGTCCAACATATGGAGATCATTGATCTTTTTTGAACCATTTGTACCCCCAAATACTATCATTTTATGCCCTGTGAGGACTGAACTGTGGCTATCTCTAGTCCCTGGTTGATGGCCAGTGGTTACTAGGGAGCTCCATACCATGGTCTTCAAATCTAGAGTGAGAACATCACTGAAATGTAGCCCACCGCAACATCCCTGAGTAAAAGAGTAAGAGATTAAGTAGATCAGTTGAGAGAGAGATTGTTGGAGCTGGTTATTTACAAGTAGTTAAGCACAGAGCCATGAAGTTAATAACCAGACCAGGAAAGAAAAGCAAAAGGATGGTAACAGTGTCATTAAGAAACTCAAAAGAAATCTATCTCTCTCTCTCTCTCTGAATTACAAACAAGGGAAGGAAAAAGTCAAAACTAAACAGAAGAAAGCAATTGCTCAAGCTTTTAAGATTGAATTAGGAATGGAAAACACTCAGCATTGAAGTAATAGAGTGATTTCAGTAGTAATGGGCACCATGACTAGAGGGAATAGGAAGAAAAGGAAAGGAAGGAAAGAATAAAGAAGGGAACCTCAGGAGAACAAGCTCCTCAAACACATGGAGAAAATTGTGAAGTCAAAACTTTGCAAGCTGAAATCAGAATAACAATTTCTTTTCCCACTACAGATTATGATAACCGACATTACGAAATCGCATAGCTTTAAAAATAAAAAAAACAATTGAGGGAATTCGAAAGACCAGAACTATGAACTATTTAAGGCACCAAGTTGTGATTGCGAAAGAACATGAACATGGCAACGATTTAAAAAGTAAGACCCCTTTCTCTATTAAAAAGATACAAAAATAGTAATCATTCAGAAAAGCAGAGGCATACCATAGACCCCAAAAATAATTAAGGAAAATAAACCACAACAAACAGGGCCAAATTACTACAATAAAAATCATTACAAAATAATTCAACAAAAGAAAAGAATCCAGCACCAAACAATCACCTAAAGCTCAAAACCAGAAAATTTAGAAATTTACATGCAAGGAAAAAACAGCTGGGATTTCAAATCTTCATCATGCACGGTTATAAACATATAAAAAAAATTAAAATAAAATAAAACCAACAAAATAAATCACGAAATAAGGATAATAAAAATTATACAGCGCATATAATTTGAAAGAAAATGATATACACAAACTTACCCCAAAAACATAAAGAACCCCATCGGAATAACAAGCAGAGTGCCCCCATCTCTCAGATGGATTAAACCCCAAAACCCTCGGATATAACCACATTGGCTTCTTCACAACCCCTCCACCCATGTATCAAAACCTTCAAATTTCAAAATACTTCCCTCTTTTAGAGTAAAATAACAGAGAGAGAGACCAATGACCTCAAAAATAGAGAAGAGTTAAATTACAACAGAAAATTACATAGAGAGCAATAGAGGTCTAAAAAGGTAGAGCAAATTGGGTAGAAAGAAAAAGCGTCAATTTTCAAAAGCATCATCATGTAAAGAGTATAATGGTTACTTGACAGAGTAAGAGACTAATTTCAAGGCCAGAAACCTCGAAAATCAGAAAAGAACCCAAACTTAGAGAGAGCGGGGGGTAAAAAGTTGGGTAGGGAGAGAAGCTTCAAAATTTTGAAGCCACGCCCCAGCAGAGAGAGGATGAGGTGGGTTGACAGATAAGATGGGTGCTTTCAAAAGTACTGTAGAGGAAACATGCTAGACTGGGTGGTGGTGAAATGTTGGGGTCCTGCAATGGGATTGACAGGTTGCTGGTGATGGTTGGATTTGATGGCTGGTGAGGAAGGAGAACTAGAGTTAGAGAGAGAAAGAGGAGAGAGGGTGATGTAAAATCATGGGAGGTTGACTGTTAGTGTTGTGGACTGCTGAGTTTATGGGAATGTGGGCTCTTTCCCTCTCTTGCTTTGTCTAACTGAATATGATGAGAGAGAGTGTGAGTATGTGTTTGTGCTTGCATTTTAAAGAGAGAAAGGTCGTCATTTTAGAAAGAGAAAGTACAGAGGGAGATCATTTTAGAGAGAGAAAGCTAGAGAGAGAGAGAGATCACTGTTGGGTCATGGGAAATGATGCCAATCTATATCATAATCTAGAAATATTTAGCTTTTCGAGGACTTAATTTGTTAACAGTTTCGGTACTAATGAGCCCTCCGATTTTTAAGGAATTTCTGAAATACCCTTCGAATTCCCTACAACGATTTGACTTTAACAACGAAAATTATTAATATTACCATTTAGCCCTTATCTATTCAACGTTAGTGAAAAGGTCCACCAAATCACATGTTTTCTTCGATGTTCGGTTTAGGAAAAGTCGCCCCGTTTTGCAAACGACGTTAAAGATAGCCCCTTTTAAAATGGTGATGTTAAGTGGATTTTTTTTTTTTTTGGTCGAGTAAGTCCGTGGGTGTGAAGGCTCTCTGGCCGTTTTTTATCGATAAGAATAAGACAAAGTACATGGCATCAAAAAATAATAATAAAAAATAAGATAAATTACAACTCATAATTTAACAACCCAGCTGTATAGAACTTGTGCAACATCAAAAAGTATATGAAGATTAAGAAAATATGGCAGTCTAGGGTGTCGGACAATGGCATCGGAAGAAATTGTAGCTTTCTTGACAAGCGAGTCAACCAGTATATTCCAGGCAACCACTATATTGGCCTTATAGTAGATATGAGATAGAGATCATATTTGGTTGTTGAGCTTATGCCGGCAATTAATAGTTATGATATTAAGAGACCATGGCATTTTACATTGATTATGGATGGTATTAACAAGTAGAGATGAAGCGCTCTCAATTTGTACAAAAAAATAGCCTAGCTAAATGAAAAATTTATACCAACTTGAAAAGCATGTAACTCTCAATAATTGTTAGATGCCTATCCTGGAAGATTCGCAAGAGCCACAATAAATGACCCATCATTAGCGTTGATAAGAACCGCCTATTCCTGCAACCCCAGGGTTATGAAAGGAAATACCATCTACGTTGAACTTTAAGGGATGGGGTGAAGGAAAGACCATGCAATAGGGATGGATGCCTTATGTTGCTGCCAACGCCATGTGGCCTTTGGAAAGACCAACCCGTAGCATCTAATAGCTCATTGACATAGGAGACGATCCTCCTGAGAAGATGTTATAGTTTGGACACTCTCCCCTAAAAAACTTGATGGTTCCATTCTTTTTATAGGAACCAGGTAATAGTGAAGATAAGAGAGCCAAACGGCCAATAAACCATTTGATTTGAATTTGAAAGACATTCTTCTTCTGAGAATAGATTCTACAGATGAATCTAAGTGAAATTTCTTGCCACATCTCCAAGCAATCGATTTCCAAATCGTTTATGAATAAGTACAATGAAATAAAAGATGTAAAATATTATCATCGTGGCATTGACAAAAAGGACATATGGAATCTAGAAGAGTTCCCCTGTACAGTAAGAGTGGAAACTCGAGAGAGAGAGAGAGAGAGGCGTTATTAAATTATTATTGGAGCTATTTTACATGTTATTTTTTTAAAAAATATACACAACGATATTATTTACTTTTGATATAAGGAGATCACAATTGTTACTGACCATTATATTTGAAATCGGGTGGTTAAAGACGTGTCATTGTTTGGGCACAAAATATAAAATAAAGTTTCTCACACACGCTCATCTATTGGATTTCATATTCAATGGCTATAAGTGATTGACCTCTTTGTACCAAAAACGAATGATCTCGTAGTATCAGTATTGTCAAACTCGTTTCGCTTCGGCCACCCTTCCAATTTTAGCCCTAGACCAAAGCCAAGTGAAGCTTGATGTTGCCGCTTTGGTCAGTTTTGGGCCACTTCGGTCAGCTTCGGGTTTGTTTTGGGCAGATTCGGCCGAAGCTAATAAACATTCATATAAAAGCTTTTTTATTTGAAAACTTTATTTTAATTTTTTCATTCTTTTATATATTTTTATATTATAAATATCTAATTTATTTATATTACATTTTAAAAAAAGTCCGAAGTCTTTCCTCGAATCGACCGAAACACCGAATTGCTTCATTTTTTCAGCAAATTGAAGAAAACTCCGAAGTGAACAACATTACATAGTATACAATCCTTCTAATTGAACCCTTTCTTCTTGTCTAATTTTCAGTAATAGATTAAATTTTATTTATTTTGATAAAAGTTCAAATACCCTATTAAATCATCGTTGGAACTATTTAACATCTTATCTTTCTTTTTTTATTTTTTGCAATTTCAAAACAGTAGATCATTGTTAAAAAAATTTTAGGTAAATTTCAAATAACCCATCAAATAACACATCCATTTGAGTATTGTAATTTTACCAAATCACACTTATCATGTAATGTTATATAGTACAACTTGATAGATTTTCTGAAAAGCATGTGGTCCACCAATGGATGGATCACAATAGTATCCATACCCTTACTTTAGGAGTGGCACTATTCTACCATCCATCCTTTTAAGGGCTTTAGAGCCATTTCATGATTCTATCATCATTATCGGTCATTTGTTTCACCTAATTTAGCACACACATTCTCTTGGCCCCAAGAAAAAAAAACCATGAGAAGAATTCCTATAAATCGTTTTTTAGGAGGAAGAAATGTTGTAATGAAATATGGTTAATCCAGTTTAGAAAGGAAACATTGTTTTAGGGCAAGGCTTTGAATAAATTTTTCTAACTACAAATTTATAAACAATTTAAATAAAAAAAATTGATTTTGAGTTCATAAAAAGTTCTATCTAGGTCCCAATGAAAGCAACGGGTCATCGAGTCCCTATAATTTATTTTACAATATGTTATTTTTGTTTTCTTCTTCATTGGAGCCTGTACATGACAAATTTAAAGCAAAATGAACAACCTAAAAATCCTAGGGGAGGTGGACCAATGTACCTGTCCACCCAAAGCCGAATCAAATGATATGCATTTAGAGAGAGAAAGCCAGATGAAATGCCATACATTTAGAGAGAGAGAGATGTGTGATGAGGGATGGGGGAATGGTGGGAGTGATAGAGATGGACATGTCCAACAAAAACTACATTTGTTTGGGTTGCATGTTGCCAGAAAGATTGGTTGTTGTTATCAGAGAGAGAAAGAGCAACAACTCATTGAACCCGACCCCACATAATATTACAAAATAGATGGAAAACGTACACGAGGAGAGCTGATTCCTAGTAGAGAGAGACAGACAGTTATCATATACTTCCAAACAATCGAGTTTGCATTTAGAGAGACGAGAGAGGGTCGTATACTGTACAAAGGAAACCGCATACTCGTGAGAGAAACCTGAGTAATTGAAAGTTTTTTTTTAAAAAAAAAAAAACCTGAATAATCATATGTTATATGTAATTGATTGTATACTACGAGATTATATATATTTGTTACAAAATGATCATAATTAGTTATAGTCTTAGACATTAAATTGAATGGCTTGCAATGTGTCATTAATTTTAAATTTTGAGTCTAGCCAATGCCGCGCTCTTATAATCACCCGATTTAAAAATTGACGGATATGAGTGATTGTGACGTTGTTTTACCGAAAGTAAATAGCCTCTTTATATACTTTTACTACATGTAGTTATAACCTTATCTCCCACATGAGCGCACAAGCACTAGTGACCTGACCCATCAGGGTACACAGGTGGCCCAATGTTTCGTTAAGTTACCCTTAATTTCGCAGTACATTTTGGACAAAATTTCCGCTTAGAGACCTTGATGAGACTTAGGGGTATTTCTTTATTTATGTCGTAACTCTATTATACTACTGATAATTTGATATGTATGTCTATTCACAACGAGATTCATGATAAGTTTTAATAAAATTTTATGTTGGTTGTCTATCTAATACAACTCGGACCTTTTACTCATGCATCGGATGTATCAAGAGAAAGCTTAAGTTGAGAGACACTTAGTATAATAGAAATTTAGAAGGGCTGATTCTTTCTTGGGTATGGTTTCAATAAAGTTGGAACCTTAAACAATCCAATTAAAGCGCACCTCCAAATTTTATTATAATATGTAATTTTGGTGTAAAAAATTATTAGTATTATCTAAAAATATATTTTTATATCTAATTATAAAAATTTAAAATCTAAAAATAGTTAAAATAATGTAGATCAATAAACATGTGAAAATCTTGAAAATTGACGGTCTAGATAATGTGTTGTAATGTGCACTATTTTTGCAACTAAAAAACTTTCCTTTTACACATTCATACATCTCGATGTCGAGATGATCAATTAGAGGGTCTTTCAACATTAAAACAACCTTTTCTAATGAATTTTTGAAATGTATTTATACTTCTACATTTTAAAATTGCAACCTTATATAAACTTTTCCCTTTATGCATCTAGAAATGTGTATTCCTTGTCTGTGGAGAGGGTTTTTATTAGGAATGATGGCCCTCATATCTACGGAGGTGGGTGGGATTTTGAAATGTTTTTGGGTTGGGGTAAAAGGGACAAGACTTTCTTTTGATGTGCACAGGGAAGTGTGTCTAACTTGCTGGTTTGGTGGTTTATAGGAAAGTGTGTATAAAAAAAGGAAAAAAAAAAAAAGACTGACTAAAAGATTAGGGCAAGCTTTGTATGTTTCTCTTGTAACATAAAACTTATAAATTTCCTATTAAGCAAGTGTTAATTCTGAATGGAGGGTTAAGAATGTTCCAATCACAATATTACCTTTCTGTATTATTATATTTTTTTTATAAACTATTTTGACATTAAATTTTGTACGTTCAATCCTCTATTAAATTCTCACTAGCAAAAAATATTTATATTAAAATAAAATGATCAAAATGCCTTTGAAAGTTTCAAAAAGTATTTTAGTCATTATATTTTATTATAATTTTATTTTAAATATTTTTTATAGGTGCACCCCAATGAGAAAATGGCACGTACAAAATTTCATATTAATACAATTTGTGTAAAAAAACCT